CCTGGCAGCATCAAGTTAGCAACCAGCACACTGACAACACACAAGTCAAACACTAATAGCACATCCGGGGCTGGCTTGGCATCTGTGAGTGTGGCAGCAGTAAACCCCTCACAGGTGTTGGCCAGCTCAGCCAGTAAACAGCCACATATTATTGTCTCCCTAGAAGAGTTGCAGAAGCTGCTAGCTCAGCAGAATCTGTCTCAACCCTCCCCATCGGTTCCTCATCAGCAGCCATACACCACCCTATCCTCTCCCCAGACCCTGGTTCTGCAGAAACATGCATCACATTCCTTGAAGCAGTCTCAGCCCAGGCTGTTGATCAAAGGGGCAACCCTGCCCAGCCAGCCACGCCTGGGCCACCCCCACCAACAGCTACAACAAGCTAGAGACAAGCTGCAGCTTATGATGCACCAGCCTTCAGAACACGCATCTGTTAGCCAACTCTCTCACAGGAGCTCAGAGACCACTACTCCCCAGGAGAGCCACCAGAAGGCATCAAACCCCTTTCATTTTGTATCATTTGGCCAGCTGGACAAGTTGTCACAGGGTAAGCTGCATGTTTTACAGCATTCTTCAGAGCAGCAACCCAAAGGCAAGCTACAGCTGAAACCAGCCCAGCTGTTTCATCGCCAGCCACAAACAGTCAACTTGTTTCTACAGCAGGTGCCCGCCAAGGCTGGGGATCACAAGCTGGCCCCTCTACAGTTGGGACAGCAGCAGATAGTTCCACCCCAGGGCCAGCAGAAATCTCACACAGATCACAAACCTTTTGTACATATTGAATCTCATGTCCACAACCCTCACCATCTCAACCAAAGGGGCCTCAGTAGCACTTCAAAGACTCACAATCTCATTCAGCTGGCACAAATGCAGCAAGAACTGCTCTTGTTGCTGAAGCAGGAGGAGAAAGGACAGGAGTTTGAGAAGCAGCAGCTGCAGCAGTTTCACCGGAAGCACCAGCAACATTTACAACCCTTAGACAAGACTGACAAAACAGAGCGAGCCTGCAGTGACAGTCTCAGGAAGGATTACAAACATCTCCATAGTCTGTTGACCGCTGATACCAGTTCAGGCAACTTACACAATAAAGGTCAGCTTTTGTCATGTTTTAGCTATAGAAGGCAATATTTGTTTTATCATGTTTTAACTATAGAAGACATTATTGGTTTTGTCATGTTTTAGCTATACAAGGCTTTATTTTTCTTATGCCACCAGTGCATCTTTGTTGTATGTCTGCCAGATCATGGGCATTTACTTCTGTCCATTTAATATTTTGATTACTGTAGCAAATATCTGTGCTAGAAGAAGTATTGTGTGAATTGCTGCATGCTAGAACTGTTGTGTGAATCACTCTGTTTTGTGATAAAACTGTTGTGTGAATCACTCTGTTTTGTGATAGAACTGTTGTGTGAATCACTCTGTTTTGTTATAAAACTGTTTGTGGATCACTTTATTGTGTTATATGATGCTAGCGTGTTTCACTCCATTGTGATATGTGTGTTAGAATTTGGTGTAAATCACTCTGTTGTGATATATAATGCTAGAACTGTTGTGTAAATGACTCCATTCTCTGCTCAAACTGTTGCGTGAATCTCTCTGTTGTGTTATAGTACTGTTTTGTGAATCAAACTGTTGTGATATATAATGCTTGAACTGTTGTGTAAATGACTCCATTCTCTGCTCAAACTGTTGCGTGAATTTCTCTGTTGTGTTATAGTACTGTTTTGTGAGTCACACTTTTGTGATATATAATGCTAGAACTGTAGTGTGAAGAACAATTAACACAATGTGCTATATAGTTGTGTTAGTTAACATAATGTGCTATATAGTTGTGTTAGTTAACATAATGTGCTGTATAGTTGTGTTAGTTAACATAAGGTGCTATTTAGTTGTGTTAGTTAACATAATGTGCTATATAGTTGTGTTAGTTAACATAATGTAATATATAGTTGTGTTAGTTAACATAATGTGCTATTTAGTTGTGTTAGTTAACATAATGTGCTATATAGTTGTGTTAGTTAACATAATGTAATATATAGTTGTGTTAGTTAACATAATGTGCTATTTAGTTGTGTTAGTTAACATAATGTGCTATATAGTTGTGTTAGTTAACATAATGTGCTATATAGTTGTGTTAGTTAACATAATGTGCTATTTAGTTGTGTTAGTTAACATAATGTGCTGTATAGTTGTGTTAGTTAACATAATGTGCTATATAGTTGTGTTAGTTAACATAATGTGCTATATAGTTGTGTTAGTTAACATAATGTAATATATAGTTTTGTTAGTTAACATAATGTGCTATTTAGTGGTGTTAGTTAACATAATGTGCTGTATAGTTGTGTTAGTTAACATAATGTAATATATAGTTGTGTTAGTTAACATAATGTGCTATTTAGTTGTGTTAGTTAACATAATGTGCTATATAGTTGTGTTAGTTAACATAATGTAATATATAGTTGTGTTAGTTAACATAATGTGCTATATAGTTGTGTTAGTTAACATAATGTGCTATATAGTTGTGTTAGTTAACATAATGTGCTATTTAGTTGTGTTAGTTAACATAATGTGCTATATAGTTGTGTTAGTTTCCAAGTCTGACAGTTGTGTGCCAGTACATTATGTTCTCTGATGTCAGAGACGTGTTACCACTGATATTTGTGGTCTGTTTCAGCTGTTCCATCAGTGCTGAACCTAGCCACAAACTCTGTAGGACTACAGCTGGCTGGTGGTGGCAGCTCACAGACACTGCCATCAGCTACATCCACGGCTCCATTCTCATTGATTCCTCTCAATGGTCATACATCCTTGCCATTGTCTAGCACCAGCTCCAGCACTCCCCTGTCCACCCTAGCTTTCGTGAAGAACATGGGAGCTGCTGCTGCTGCCTCTAAGGCATTTGACATCAAAGATTCTCACACAGAACCCAACCTGCCCACTGCCCAGTATTCGGTCAAGTTAGAACAGGGCAGCAGTGCCAAGGATGAACTGGATGTGCTGAGTGAGCACTTTAGTGATCACCTTGCATCCCACCAGCCTCCCCTGCTGCTACAGACATCCACAGAGAGGAAGAGAAGTCATACTCCATTAAGTGTGGACTTGAACAGCCCAGCAAACTCTGGCTCTGAGCCGGCCAGTCCTCTCTCCTCACCAACAGTTTGTGAAGATGGTAATACTCAACTGACACTGATTGAGCGCTCCGCAGATCTTCACATAAAATCAGACACCATGATGGGCGTGGAAGACGAAGATGTTGATGAGAATTCCTGCTTTGATCTCAATGCTTTCCACAAGCGTCCTTCAGCAGGAGAATCCCACTCTACCAGAGGCAACCGTGAGAGTGTGCCCATGAAGATTGCCAAGTCATCCATGGACACAAATGCTCACTTGGCTGTCAACTCCTCTACTTCTCCAGAATCCACATTTGACTTTGGCAGCGCAGTAACGTCAGCTTCTAGCTTCTCGTTTGTCTTTGGGAACAAGGAGGACAACAGCTCAGAGGTGTTCACATTTGGGTTGAATGGTACAGCAACCACGGCAGCAGCAGTGACAACAACAGCAACAACTGATACATTGTAAGCAAGCTTTTGTTTTATTGTCTGCATGAAATATTGTCTCTGTTAGAAGTAGAGCCTGAAGGTTGTGATTGTGATGGTTGTAATACTGATGGTGCTAATGATGGGGTGATGCTATTTATTCAAATAGTGGAGATATTATTGGTGATATTCATAATCATTATTTGTAGCCAAGGCATTAAGGGTGTGATCTCCTTGGTAGTTACTGGGTGTTGGTTATTGATGGCAGAAGTGGTGATGGTGTTGGTTGAAGAGGGGACATTAATAGTGGTGTTGGTAGAAATGTTAACAATTATTTTGAATGTTGCAATTTCCCTTCTGTTGTTGTGTGACATGATTTATTTGTTACTTTCTATTATATAATCGGTTGTCCCGTTTCCTCATGTTCAGCACGAGTCTTCTCACTCAGCAGCTGTTGCATATTCTGAATATGCATGGCTGATAGCCATACATACTCAGCTGTCATTGCTAAGTCATCTGCATAACATATTGATTAGATGATCATCTCCTACTGGTATCTCTTTCTTCTCTAACAACCCCATCCCACTCCCTTTCCGCCTAATTGTTTTTTACTGTTCACTCACTCCCAAATAGCCCTCACAGCAATTAACTTCTCATACATCAGAACCGACCAGTCTGTTGCCTGCTCCTTTCCTAACACACCAGCATGACCTGGAGATATTTCCATATCATGCTAGCTACCCAGGACCTCTGAAGCGATGCTTGCCACAATACATGGAGCATGCTCTGTCTCCACCTTTCTCATCCACTATCAATGCTCCTGTAGCTCTCAGATCTTCCCTAGGTTGTGTGACTGATCGTACAGTGACAGTGCTGCTCTAGCTCTCAGATCTTCCCTAGGTTGTGTGACTGATCATTCAGTGACAGTGCTGCTGTAGCTCTCAGATCTTCCCTAGGTTGTGTGACTGATCGTACAGTGACAGTGCTCCTGTAGCTCTCAGATCTTCCCTAGGTTGTGTGACTGATCGTACAGTGACAGTGCTGCTGTAGCTCTCAGATCTTCCCTAGGTTGTGTGACTGATCGTACAGTGACAGTGCTGCTGTAGCTCTCAGATCTTCCCTAGGTTGTGTGACTGATCATACAGTGACAGTGCTGCTCTAGCTCTCAGATCTTCCCTAGGTTGTGTGACTGATCATCCAGTGACAGTGCTGCTGTAGCTCTCAGATCTTCCCTAGGTTGTGTGACTGGTCGTACAGTGACAGTGCTGCTCTAGCTCTCAGATCTTCCCTAGGTTGTGTGACTGATCATACAGTGACAGTGCTGCTCTAGCTCTCAGATCTTCCCTAGGTTGTGTGACTGATCATACAGTGACAGTGCTGCTGTAGCTCTCAGATCTTCCCTAGGTTGTGTGACTGAACATCCAGTGACAATGCTGCTGCATTGACTTTATGATACATTGACAGGCCACACAAAGACGGGAGCAAGCCATACAGATTGACCCCCAACAAACCTGTGATGAAGGCAGCAGCAATGAGGGCTGCAGTGCCCACCCAGTCTGTGAGACCCACTACCAGGAAACAGAAGGAGTACAGTCTGAAGGCATACTACCCAAGTAAGTTGGATGGCATGGAGTTAAAGATCCTGGAGCAGCCAGAACCACAGCATCGTGCCCGCTACCAGACAGAAGGCAGCAGGGGGGCCATCAAAGATGCCAGCCAGCAAGGGTTCCCTGTCATCAAGGTATTTGTCATGTGTGTTCCTGCGTTAACATTTACTGAGCAACCCTGGAAATATCATGAGACATACTTCAGTGGGTATTGATTCACACTTACCATGAAAATAGTATTGCAAACCAGATTGCAGATTGTTTTACACTGTAACTTTAGCTTTCACCGTTACATTGTTTTTTTTATCTCTTCTCCCTCACCTAACATAGTAACGTTAGCGCTCAGTGTTTACGTTGTCTCTCATCTCCCCCCTCCCCCCCCACCTCACAGAGTAACTTTAGCACTCGCAAAGTCTCTCATCTCTTCTCCCCCACCTCATAGAGTAACTTTAGCACTCGCATTGTCTCTCATCTCTTCTCCCCCACCTCACAGAGTAACTTTAGCACTCGCATTGTCTCTCATCTCTTCTCCCCCACCTCATAGAGTAACTTTAGCACTCACATTGTCTCTCATCTCTTCTCCCCCACCTCATAGAGTAACTTTAGCACTCGCATTGTCTCTCATCTCTTCTCCCCCACCTCACAGAGTAACTTTAGCACTCGCATTGTCTCTCATCTCTTCTCCCCCCTCTCACAGAGTAACTTTAGCACTCGCAATGTCTCTCATCTCTTCTCCCCCACCTCACAGAGTAACTTTAGCCTTCACATTGTCTCTCATCTCTTCTCCCCCACCTCACAGAGTAACTTTAGCACTCGCATTGTCTCTCATCTCTTCTCCCCCCTCTCACAGAGTAACTTTAGCACTCGCAATGTCTCTCATCTCTTCTCCCCCATCTCACAGAGTAACTTTAGCCTTCACATTGTCTCTCATCTCTTCTCCCCCATCTCACAGAGTAACTTTAGCACTCGCATTGTCTCTCATCTCTTCTCTCCCATCTCACAGAGTAACTTTAGCACTCGCATTGTCTCTCATCTCTTCTCCCCCATCTCACAGAGTAACTTTAGCACTCGCATTGTCTCTCATCTCTTCTCTCCCATCTCACAAAGTAACTTTAGCCTTCACATTGTCTCTCATCTCCCCCACCTCACAGAGTAACTTTAGCTTTCACATTGTCTCTCACTAAATTAATTCTCCAAAAATGGCAAATTGGATAAAGAAATAAAAACCTGATGAAGAAAGTATTTCAAGTATTGGGACAGCTCACCTCCCTGCAGCAACATCAAATCGTGCTGGTAATGTGTTCCTTCTTGTGTGTGCTAGTGGGTGTGTATACGCTCTTGTGTGTGCTAGTGGGTGTGTATACTCTCTTGTGTGTGCTAGTGGGTGTGTATACACTCTTGTGTGTGCTGGTGGGTGTGTATACTCTCTTGTGTGTGCTAGTGGGTGTGTATATGCTCTTGTGTGTGCTAGTGGGTGTGTATACACTCTTGTGTGTGCTGGTGGGTGTGTATACACTCTTGTGTGTGCTAGTGGGTGTGTATACTCTCTTGTGTGTGCTAGTGGGTGTGTATATGCTCTTGTGTGTGCTAGTGGGTGTGTATACACTCTTGTGTGTGCTGGTGGGTGTGTATACTCTCTTGTGTGTGCTGGTGGGTGTGTATACTCTCTTGTGTGTGCTGGTGGGTGTGTATACTCTCTTGTATGTGCTGGTGGGTGTGTATACTCTCTTGTGTGTGCTGGTGGGTGTGTATACTCTCTTGTGTGTGCTGGTGGGTGTGTATACTCTCTTGTGTGTGCTGGTGGGTGTGTATACACTCTTGTGTGTGCTGGTGGGTGTGTATACTCTCTTGTGTGCGCTAGTGTTTGTGTATGCACTCTTATGTGTGCTAGTGGATGTGTTTCTCTTGTGTGTGTGGATATGTTCTGACTTGTGCTGATGTGTTCTCTTCTGTCTACTGCAGCTGTATGGCTACAACAAGCCGGCCAAGCTGCAAGTATTTATTGGAGACGAGTGTGGCCGGGTAAAACCTCATGGCTTCTACCAGGCCTGCCGTGTGTTTGGCAAGAACTCCACAGCTTGTGTGGAGCAGGAGATAGAGGATACGACTGTCATTGAGATTGCAGTGCTGCCAGAGAATGACATGACTGTCAAGTAAGTTGTCATTAGACATAAACTTCTCATCTCTGAGTTCATGTCTGACATAAACCTCTCATGCCTGGGTTCACATCTGGCATAAATTGTCATCTGTGGATTGACATCTGAATAAACCTGTTATCTCTGGATTCACATCTGGCATAAACCTGTCATCTTTGGATTGACATCTGAATAAACCTGTTATCTCTGGATTCACATCTGGCATAAACCTGTCATCTTTGGATTGACATCTGAATAAAACTGTTATCTCTGGATTCACATCTGGCATAAACCTGTCATCTTTGGATTGACATCTGAATAAACCTGTTATCTCTGGATTCACATCTGGCATAAACCTGTCATCTTTGGATTGACATCTGAATAAACCTGTTTTCTCTGGATTCATATCTGGCATAAACCTGTCATCTTTGGATTGACATCTGAATAAAACTGTTATCTCTGGATTCACATCTGGCATAAACTTGTCATCTTTGGATTGACGTCTGAATAAAACTGTTATCTCTGGATTCACATCTGGCATAAACTTGTCATCTTTGGATTGACGTCTGAATAAAACTGTTATCTCTGGATTCACATCTGGCATAAACCTCTCATATTTGGGTTCACATTTAGCATAAATCTCATGTCAAAAATCTAACATAAACCTCTCATATTTATATTTGGGTTCACATCTGGCAAAAACCTCTCATGTGAAACATCTGACATAAAGCTCTCATATTCGGGTTCACATCTGGCATAAACCTCTCATGTCAAACATCTGACATAAACCTCCCATCTTAGGGTTTCTATCTGACATAAACCTCATCTCTGTGTTCACTTATGACAAATAACATTACAGCACTTATTAAGGTTGTGAAAAAGTAAAATAATCACATGAGTAACTATACTGAAAACAAAAACCAGTATTTAGTAAAACCAGTACACATCATCAGTTATAGAAGTACGAAGATAAGAACAAAAAATTCTCCAAGGAAATGTTACCAGTGAGTACACAAAGCAGGATAAGCAGTCATAGATCATTTATTTACCAGCAGTGCCTGTCTCTCTAGCGTAGTTGACTAAACCGGATTGCGCGGTGAGCGGGTGGCGAACTCCTTGTGGTCCGGGTTCGCTCCCGGAGGTGGGCAGAAAAGCCACATTTCTCCCAGATTTACAGTATTTAAAATGGAATCAAGGCCGAAAGGTTGCGATATCCATAATGCCGAGCTTAAGGGTTAACAACTCATGGCTTCTGGATACTGAAACAAAACAATGTACCAGCAGTAGAAGATAGAGAATTTCCACAGAGTCCTAGAGACAGTAAATAGGAATAGCAGAAAGATCTAGTTCCTGACTGGCGTGTCAGTGGCTGAAGTGAATCTTTGTGGTCTGTCTCCTGTAGGCTACAATTCTAAGACAGTTTGCAACATACAACTCTGAAAAGATAATAATTACTGTCCTCACCTGGAGATAGATATAAGACTATGTGGTGAGTTAGGCCATAATGCTAGGTTTTGTGGATACTAGAAGACAACACAATTGTCTCAGACTTGTTTCCTTGTCTATTTTGCATTCCTAGCAGCCGGAAGTGAGTGTTTGTATTCCCTGTACCAGCATGGTTTCCCTTTGCAGCTAGATTCAGTAACAAAGTTGCTGGGTGCTAGCAGCAATTTCTGAACGCAAATGCAACACGCTCTGACATGCTGGGAAATAGCAAACTGGGCAGACAGGAAATTCCCTAGTGGCACAATTATACACATAACAATATCCCTCTGTATCATTGCTGAATAAAATTACGTAACTCTTGACGTAGACAGGGAAGAACAATCAAAGTAGTATGTCATTTAAAGTATCGTCTACGGGAAGCGGTGTCTCCCAACACATCAATTTTACTGATCTGGCTTATTACTTTTGGTTCCTCGCCCCTCCGGCAGATGCACTCTGACTTTGGAGAAAAAAAATAAAATGCTTAATTAGTCGCGGTTAACAACATGCTTATTAAGGAGGCAATTCCCCGTGTGGGTTCCGGGGCCCCATCGTGGGGAAAACAAGAATAGACCCTCTGCTTACCCAAAAGCATGTCGTAGGAGTTGACTAATTGGGGAGCTTCTTTTGAAGTCGGAGTGCCTCTGCCTGAGAGGCAAGGAACCAACAGTCTGCATTCAAGTGAATCAGATCTGTAAAACTGATGCACACGCAACACTCAGGTTCTGGGGCAGGGCTGCAGTTCAGAAGTGGACGAACAACCAGAACTTTCCACCATAGTGTACAGCTGGTGAACGTGAAGAAGAAGAAGAGAAGGGAGGCAGTGTGTCTATCCTGTTCGGGATCTCACACAGCGATACCGGAGAGTAGAAATAATCTGTTCTCTGGTAAAATTCCAAGATGACACAGAAGAGCTGGAGAGTTAGTGTGGGTGATCAGACAGTGAAAATGTATGCCAGGTTGCAACTGTTCAATATCACTCATCATTCTGGACTTCTCTGTTGCAGGCTGGACTGTGTTGGGATCTTGAAGCTGAGAAATGCAGATGTGGAGCGCCGAATCGGCCCCAAACGAGCAAGGGAGAAGAAGAAGGCAAACACTCGGGCTCGGCTGGTGATGAGATGTCTGGTGGACAAGTCTGACGGCAACCAGCAAATTCTGCAAGCTGTCTCCAACCCTATAGTCTGCAGTAAGTAGGACAGTGGTTGTCTCGCATACACAGGACTCAGTCAACTGGCACAGACATTACAGCTGCTGTATATCTAATGGAGGCCACCAACACATGCCTAACAATATCTGTGGAGTGTGTGTTGTTTATGTGTGTATGGTTCATTGCTGACTCCATGTGTGTGTGTTGTTTAGTGCTAACTCTTTATGTGTGTATGGTTCATTGCTGACTCCATGTGTGTGTGTTGTTTAGTGCTAACTCTTTATGTGTGTATGGTTCATTGCTGACTCCATGTGTGTGTGTTGTTTAGTGCTAACTCTTTATGTGTGTATGGTTCATTGCTGACTCCATGTGTGTGTGTTGTTTAGTGCTAACTCTTTATGTGTGTATGGTTCATTGCTGACTCCATGTGTGTGTGTTGTTTAGTGCTAACTCTTTATGTGTGTATGGTTCATTGCTGACTCCATGTGTGTGTGTTGTTTAGTGCTAACTCTTTATGTGTGTATGGTTCATTGCTGACTCCATGTGTGTGTGTTGTTTAGTGCTAACTCTTTATGTGTGTATGGTTCATTGCTGACTCCATGTGTGTGTGTTGATCAGCAGTGACTATTGTGTGTGTTGATCAGCGCTGACTCTTGTTGTGTGGCTCACTGATGACTGTCTGGCTCAGTCCTGACTCTCTGTGTAGGGCTTAGTGCTGACTCTTGTGTGTGTGTGTGTGGCTTAGTCCTGATGCTTGTGTGTGTGACTTAGTGCTGACTCTTGTGTGTGTGTGTGTGACTTAGTGCTGATGCTTGTGTGTGTGACTTAGTGCTGACTTTTGTGTGTGTGGTTCATTGATGGTGCGTGTGACTTAGTGCTGATGCTTGTGTCTTTGGCTTAGTGCTCACTTGTGTATGTGTGGCTTAGTGCTGATGCTTGTGTGTGTGTGTGGTTTATTGCTGACTCTTGTGTGTGGCTTACTCCTGACTCTTGTGTGTGGCCTAGTGCTGATTGTGTGTGTATGTGGCCTAGTGCTGACTCTGTGTGTGGGGCCTAATGCTCTGTGTGTGGGGCCTAGTGCTGATTGTGTGTGTATGTGGCCTAGTGCTGACTCTGTGTGTGGGGACTAGTGCTGACTGTGTGTGGGGCCTAGTGCTGATTGTGTGTGTATGTGGCCTAGTGCTGTCTGTGTGTGGGGACTAGTGCTGACTGTGTGTGGGGACTAGTGCTGACTCTGTGTGTGGGGCCTAGTGCTGATTGTGTGTGTATGTGGCCTAGTGCTGACTGTGTGTGTGATTCAGTGCTGACAGAGAGGAGCATGTTGTTTGTGAATCTAGGACATTGCCTTAGTTGAAGCTGTGTTAGTGTCGTGATAACAGCCTCACCTGTTGTATGTCCACAGCTCAGCCCGTAGGTCAGCCAGAGATCTCCCGCATGAGTCTCTCCGAGTCCAGTGTCCTCGGCGGGGACAGTCTCTTCATCATTGGCAAGAACTTCAAGAACAAAGGCACCAGTGTTTTGTTTCAGAAATTGGACTCCAGTGAGGAATGTGTGGTCTGGCAGGTGGAGGCAGACATTGAGCAGGAGTTCTTCCAGCCTGTAAGCTAGCTCTGGCTCTCTGCCTGTATCTCTGTCTATGTTTCTGTCTCTTTGTCTCTGTCTCTGTGTCTCTGTCTGTATCCTATGCTGTATCTGTCTTTATCTCTCTCTATGTATCGGTCTCTGTTAATATCTCTCTGTGTATGGTTCTCTGTATGTCTCTCTATATATCTGTCTCTGTTAATATCTCTCTGTGTATGTCTCTCTCTCTCTATATCTGTCTCTGTTAATATCTCTCTGTATCTCTCTATGTATCTGTCTATCTATATCTGTCTATGTTAATATCTCTGTGTATCCGTCTCTCTATGAAGCTGTCTGTGTTAATATCACTCTGTATCTATCTGTGTATCTGTCTCTCTATATATCTGTCTCTGTTAATATCTCTCTATACCTGTGTATCTGTCTCCCTGTGTATCTGTCTCCCTGTGTATCTGTCTCTGTTAATATCTGTCTCTTTTAATATCTCTCTGTATCTCTCTGTGTATCTGTCTCTGTGTATCTGTCTCTCTATATATCTGTCTCTGTATCTCTCTATATATCTGTCTCTGTTAATATCTCTCTATGTATCTGTCTCTCTATATATCTGTCTCTGTATCTCTCTATATATCTGTCTCTAAATATCTGTCTCTCTATCTCTCTGTGTATCTGTCTCTCTATACATCTGTATCTGTCTCTCTGTGTATCTGTCTGTGTATCTCTCTGTGTATCTGTCTCTCTATATATATCTGTCTCTGTTAATATCTCTCTGTGTATCTGTCTCTCTGTGTATCTGTCTCTCTAAATATATCTGTCTCTGTTAATATCTCTCTGTGTATCTGTCTCTCTGTGTATCTGTCTCTCTATATATATCTGTCTCTGTTAATATCTTTCTGTGTATCTGTCTCTCTGTGTATCTGTCTCTCTATATATATCTGTCTCTGTTAATATCTCTCTGTATCTTCTGTGATTTTTGTGTGTCTATGTCTATATATCATATAGAGATGTCTATAACTCTGTATCTCACTCTGTTTCTCTCTGTGTTACTTTCTCTGTTACTTTCTCTGATTGTTTCTCTCTCTTCTCTCTCTCTCTCTCTCTCTCTGTTACTTTCTCTGATTATTTCTCTCTCTTCTCTCTCTTTCTCTCTCTCTCTCTGTTACTTTCTCTGATTATTTCTCTCTCTTCTCTCTCTCTTTCTCTCTCTCTCTCTCTCTCTCTCTCTCTCTCTCTCTCTCTCTCTCTCTCTGTGCCTCTTCCTTAGCATGTGACTTTAGTAGTAGTCACGTCATGCGACTAGGTGGCCTGTTTGTATTACAGAAGGAAGTAAATGAGATAGCAAATATTTCTGTATGTGGTACTTGGAGAGGAGTTGAATGTTTCACAAGTTGGGACGAGGACTTTGAGGTGGACTTGTGTGTCATTACTTTACAGATATGATTTCAACAAAGTTCTGTGTGAGAAGAGTTCCAAGGTTGACCACCGAGTCAGTAGATGACTCAGGCCAACAACTTGTCTGTATCCGCTGACTACAGGAACATAGATCAAATGTATGTTTGTGGCTTGTTGACATCTCCAGTGTTGTTTGTTTGCTTGTTTCCTGCAGACACACCTGATCTGCAAGATTCCCCCCTACCAAGATACAACAGTGGAGCAGCCACAGCTGGCTCAGATTGTCATTAGTTGTGCAGGCAAGAGAAGCGACCCCCAGACCTTCACGTACACACCAGGTCAGTGGATGCCGTTACCACTTGTTGGTAGGGCTTTTTCACATTGTACTGCTGGCAGGGGGGGGGTGGGGGGGGATTCTGGGGGGGGGGGGGGGGGGGGGGGGGTGGGGGGGGGGGGGGGGGGGGGATGAGTTCTCATGTACACTGGGGGGGGGGGGGGGGGGGGGGGGGGTGAGTTCTCATGTACACTGGTGGGGGGGGGGATGAGTTCTCATGTACACTGGTGGGGGGGGGGGGGAGATGAGTTCTCATGTACACTGGTGGGGGGGGATAAGTTCTCATGTACACTGGTGGGGGGGGGGGGGTGAGTTCTCATGTACACTGGTGGGGGGATGAGTTCTCATGTACACTGGTGGGGGGGGGGGGGGAGTTCTCATGTACACTGGTGAGTTCTCATGATTTCTACACTGGTGGGGGGGGGGATGAGTTCTCATGTACACTGGTGGGGGGGGGGGGATGAGTTCTCATGTACACTGGTGAGGGGTGTGGGGGGGATGAGTTCTCATGTACAGTGAGGGATGTGGGGGGGGGGGGGATGAGTTTCTCATGTACACTGGTAAGGGATGTGGGGGGGGGGGGGGGTGGTGAGTTCTCATGTACACTGGTTAGGGAGGTGGGGGGGGGGGGGGTGAGTTCTCATGTACACTGGTGAGGGGGGGGGGGGGGGGGGGATGAGTTCTCATGTTACTAACTGGGTGGGGGGGGGGGTGTGAGTTCTCATGTATGCTAATGGGGGGGGGGGGAAAAATGAGTTCTCATGTATGCTAATGGGGGGGGGGGAGAATGAGTTCTCATGTATGCTAATGGGTTGATGGGGGGGGGGGGGGGGGAATGAGTTCTCATGCACACTGATGGAGGAATACGTTTTTATGTACACTGATAATGAGAATAGGTTCTCATGTGCACTGAAGACTGAAAGGGGGGGGGGATAGATCCTCATGTACACTGATAGAGGGAATGGGTTCTCACGTACACTGATAGAGGGAATGGGTTCTCACGTACACTGATAGAGGGAATGGGTTCTCATGTACACTGATAGAGGGAATGGTTTCTCATGTATACTGATAGGGGGAATGGTTTCTCATGTACACTGATAGGGAAAATAGATTCTCATGTACACTGACGGGGAAATAGATTCTGACTGAGGTGCAGTTATCTACACTGAGGATCCGTCGTTGGAGACCTACAAAGTTCATGGGCTTTCACGGTTATAGTTTAAGGAAAAACTGTAAAAGAAGAAAGCGGGCTTTTTGCCTCAACTACAAGAAGTGTGGCTATGAAGGTGATGGCGGTAACAAAAGCAATGATGTGGCTAGAGACACAGCAGTTTTCCCATGCATGCTTTCTAAGTGATTCCGTGAGAATGCTTGAGGAGATAGAGGAAGGATGGATTCGAAGAAATGGTTGGAGTGGTTGATGAAATCTCGTCTGAAAGAAATTAGTTTCAATTTTGTGCCAGGACACTTTGGGGTAAGAGGGAATGACTGAGCGGATTGGCTTGCTGGCAGGGCCACGATAGGTACAGGAAAATCAATGGACCGAGCCGACATTCTCGGTGCTCTCAAGGAGGCAGGGCGAGAAGATGATTCAGGAGACAATGTGAATCAACAACACTTAAAAGACTACAAGAACTTAGGTCAAAAGAGGTTTCGTCAGACAAGAACAATATACAGGTACACAAAAAAGAATTGTAATCCAATACAGAACTGTTGTTATCAGTTGCCACATGCTGAGGGCTATACTGAAGGTATCCAAGCACTTATAGAGTTTTCTGATGTATAGTGAGGATAATCTTTCAATTAACTAACTCACTAATGTATGTATATCTTTATCAGTGCATCCTGTTGTTTCCTCTGCGAAACATGATGTACCCATGGATACGGATCATACATCTTCAGCACAGCCAGTATCATTCGTCTCATCTGGTAAGTGATGTTGCTAATCCATTGTCTTATCTCCCGAGTGTGCTAAATGTGTTGACAACATTATTGTGTGTTTGTCTTTGGTGGAGTAGTATATCAGTGTCGCTTGATAGCAGTCATTGGCCGGAGACACATACAACATTGTTGGCCAATGAAATTCTGTCATAGAATATGCACCGGCAATCCTCACCCCCCCCCCCCCCCCCCCCCCCAGGCCCAAATCGTGTGGCTACCTCAAATTTACTGAGTTCTTTGCCCACCCTCTGTACAGGCAACAGACCTAAACCAGATCAGTGTTGGTTGGGCCGGGCAGAGATAGTTGCATATATGGCCGCAACACATCGTAGAGTTTTCCTGACATTTCATGCGTGAGTTTGGTACAACAGTTTGAAGTGTGAATCATATCCAGGGCACATGGTTGTATGCTGTCTTCCCACTTTAGCACACATGAGGGACTAAACGCTGTGAGGTTTTTCGGGTTCACAGAAAAGGATTTTTCACTCAATAGACTGCATACCATAGGTGTACCAGTTGGTACAGGAAAACCATGCGGGAACAACCCGTCGTTACATGAACCAGAACAGAATGGGAGTTGTTAGCCTAAAAAAACACTTAGAGACATACTCAGGAAGAAATGGGACCATTTATGGTCATGTCTGATGTGCAGTGAAGATAATTTCTATCATGAACACTATGTTGTGATTTTATTGATAGTGCTGATGGAGATATATGTGTGTGTGAGTGTTACGGTTGTAGCACATGTAGATAATCTTTACATATTGTTCTCTTCTACACAGACACAATTCACTTGAACCGCCTGGCTCCCCTGACCAGTGGTCACCCAGCCCCATCCACCACCATCATGTTCCAGCTCCCTCAGGCTAGCCTGACAAGCAGACAGACAACAGTTGTGGAGCCGACCCCTGCAAACATGTCCCCCAGATAAGCCAGCCAGTCAGACTACTAGACCATGTCAAAACAACAGCCTCAGTGGTAGTCATGACTCCCAGCACTACATCAGCTAGACCTGTGTTTGCTGCCAGCCCCAACCAGGGCCAGTCCAGTTTCCTGTTGAAAGATCACTTGGAGGACCAGGCCCCAGAAACTGGCAAGGATGGCTCCAATGGAAGTGCTGCCCATTCATCTGTCACTGGACTTGCTCCAGTCAACTGCATTGGTACGTCCTGTTTGAGTGTTCTAGCAGGACTGGTTGTTTCTATTGATCAAAACCATTCTGTCTTGCTGACCAGTTCCTGTTGTCTACTGACTGCCCAGTCTGTCATATTGACCAGTTCCTGTTGTCTACTGACTGCCCAGTCTGTCATGCTGACCAGTTCCTGTTGTCTACTGACTGCCCAGTCTGTCTTGCTGACCAGTTCCTGTTGTCTACTGACTGCCCAGTCTGTCTTGCTGACCAGTTCCTGTTGTCTACTGACTGCCCAGTCTGTCATGTTGACCAGTTCCTGTTGTCTACTGACTGCCCAGTCTGTCTTGCTGACCAGTTCCTGTTGTCTACTGAATGCCCAGTCTGTCTTGTTGACCAGTTCCTGTTGTCTACTGACTGCCCAGTCTGTCATGTTGACCAGTTCTTGTTGTCTACTGACTGCCCAGTCTGTCATGTTGACCAGTTCCTGTTGTCTACTGACTGCCCAGTCTGTCATGTTGACCAGTTCCTGTTGTCTACTGACTGCCCAGTCTGTCATGTTGACCAGTTCCTGTTGTCTACTGACTGCCCAGTTTGTCTTGCTGACCAGTTCCTGTTGTCTACTGAATGCCCAGGCTGTCTTGTTGACCAGTTCCTGTAGTCTACACATGCATGATAGATGTGTCTGTGCGCCTGCATGATTGTGTGTGTGTACACCTGCTTGATATACATTCTAGAACGATTAAATGCGAGGGATGGGCCACACAGTAAGTGTCGGTGCATAGCTGCTTCTGTCGTCAGGAAACGACAAGTAGGGTGAACCTCAATCATCCAGAGAGGCCCAAGACATCTATCACGGAGGCGCATGTTTGCATTTGCAAATATACGACAAAGTGAGGACAAATATCAGGTTTCCACCCGCAAGCGATAGGGTGTCGTGGTGCAAGCTGGAGGACATTGAAAAGTGCCGAACAGACAAGAATGCTCTCAGAAAACAATTCTAAGCTGCTACAGGCAGCGAAAGGGAGGGACTGTACGAGGTCTGGCTGCACCTAAAGAGCAGACACAGTGGCCCTCTGTCTCGCATAGCAGTTTTTTTAAGAACAGACAGAGAACCAAAAGGGAGCGAGGGAAGTTCTTTAGGGACCCGTTCCAGTTTGCCCGAGGCCTGTTCAAGCAACTAAAATCTGGGACTCTGGTTGTCAGTAAAAAGGAACTGGAGTCGCATCTGCTGAAGATGTACTCCGATCAGACAATGAATGAACCTCTCGATGATAGCCCAGAGATCACCAGAGGCCTCAAGCGGCGAAAGTTGCCGAAGGCACCTTTCAAAACAATGCCTCCCTCTTGGTCAGAGGTCGAAAAAGTTGTGAAGAGAGCCAGCTTCAGATCTGCCTTAGGACCCAGCAGTGTTCCGTACGTGGAGTATAAACGCTGTCTGAAAGTCCACTAAATACGTACATTTCTAAGGACCGAGACTCCTCCAGTTTATCCCAATTCAGACTTATCTAACTGTTGAACGTTGAGGGCAAGATATTCTTCTCGGTTATGGCATGCAGACTCACATAGTATTTGAATCCCGTGCGTCTCTGGGTGCCTTGAGAACGCAACCATGATCTGGGATAGTATCCAGATAGCTAAGGCAGAGAGAACTTTTTTGCATGCGATTGGTTGGACCTCACCGACGCCTAAGGGGCGGTACCTCAAAAGCTATTGTAGCAGGCCCTTTGCATTTTCCACGTACCGACACAGATCACTGAAATGATCTAGCAATGTTTCTCATAGTTAGCCATACTCTTCTCTACCCCCAACTTTACTACAAGATAGGACTGAACTCCAGGTTGGGATATACGATTTCGCCAGTACTGTTCGTAATGGTCATGCATGTCATGTCGATTCCAAAGCTCCTCTGGCCGCTGCTCGTGCACGAGGTG